ATATTAGATTCAAACAAATAACAATATTAATTAATAGGTTTAAATAAATCAAACACTTTGTTCCATCAGATATTTTTTTAGAATTTTTGAGTTATATGATTTAATTAAAACTGTTTTGATTCAAATGAATAAAATAATAATATGTGAATTGGATGCAATGTTGAAAAAGTAAATTCCTAAAACATTCATAATAAATAGCATTCATTTTGGAAAACTTTATATTTTATCAGTCTAAATTATTATAATTATGCTAATTATTATCCAATAATGTTGTAACATACATTGGAAAACTTTTCAAGTTTCATATTTGCCCATTACAATTTTTCAGTGTCATACAGCATACATCTAACTAGTGTTGTCACCTTTAAAAATTGCTGACCTGGACAATAGGTTTGTTCCAACATAAGTCCCTGATTAGTTTGAATTTGAAACTGTATGAAGCATGCGCAATGCCATTTTACAGCCAAGAACTGAACAATGTGCAAGCCAATTTTAACCCAATTGGAACAAAACTAATATTTGCTTGTTAGAATTTTAAAAGTACATTTTCTGTCACTCTTAGCCAAGAGATAAGTTTGGGGGGTGTGAAGTTAAAGTCTTTAACCGATAAAATAAAATACAAATTCTTTTATAGATTTGTTTTGTTTCATTATAATTTCACAATTTCTATGAAAACCGGACAAATTAATAATTAATCCAGACCATAAATTTAAAAACCAGCTTGTCCGGGTGAAAACCGGCCTGGTGGCAACACTACATCTAACCAATACTGTAATTCTTCCTATACTTGCTACAGCTTATCTGTTGTCACTCCTCCCACAGCAGCCACAGTTCTACAGCTCCCACAGATTACTCATAATCACCCATCATTGTTGAACAATGATGGGTGATTATGACTTTGCAAACTGCAAAACAAAAAAACGCCTTCTCTGTTTCAGAGTTGCCATTTTCATTTACGGCACTTCCTAGAGGTAGTAGACAAGAAGACATTTGAATGGAGATATGATATGAAACTCAGATAGTTTACTTTATTGATTGACGTATGTTGTATACTTCTCGGATAATAATTAACATAAGTACATTAATTTAAAATGGTAGTATTCATTTTAGAAGACCCTGTATTTCGTATATAAATTGCTAAAAAATACTTGTGTTTTATTTTTTGACAAAACAAAATGTTTTTCAGTTACAAACAGTTAAAAACTTGTAAATATTTTAAACAGACCTGCAGAAGTTAATGATGGGAGTAAGGAAACAGCATACAAGTGCTTTAGATAAATTGCAAGTGAGTTAAATTTTTCATCTTATTTTATTATTTTTTTAAATAAATTTTTATTTATAAAATACATATTTTACTATTTTAGAGGGAAAAAGATATTGCTGTTTTGCATATGAGAGGACAACAAGCTGCAAAACTAACTGAATATGAGTATAAGTTGGCCCAATTAGAGAGAGAGGTTGATAAGTATCAAACGTTAGCTGGAATTGAAGAATTAGCAAGGAATGCTAAAGATGAATTAGAATTGCTTCCAATATCACCTGTGAAAGAAGTGGCAGAAGATTCAACAAAAGAAACAGTTTCCACACAAACTAAAGGTTTGCCTGTGATATTGGAATCGGTATTGGTGCAGACTGAAGATAAATCAGAAGATAAGTGTGTTGAAGTACAAACTGAAGATTTGGTTCAGCCTGTCAAGCAGAAGCATAGAAGTACATCTATATCTGGTTCAGATTTAGCACTTCTCCCTGTTTCAGAAGAACCAGTAGCGTCCCTTCCCTCAGATTTAGTTAGCTCTTCCTCACCTGCAAGTATTGCAATCAGTCCTGTATCAGCTCCTCCTCCTCCTCCTCCTCCTCCTCCACCACCACCTCCACCTCCTCCTCCTGCTCCTTGTATTCCTCCCACTTCTAGCTCTAAAATTCATTATGATATAAATGAATTATTATATAATTCGTGATGGTTAAAATATGAAATTATGCAGTGTAATGTAATTAGAGAAAATGTTTACTCATAATATTTTCATAGATAAAATTATCAATTTGATGGATTATTAATGATTCGTTATGTCTAAACCAATGAATGTAGTCCAATTATTTATTCTTTCAAGTACTTTTACATAATAGAACCTCAAGGGAAAGTAATGAATGAGTAGTAGTAGTAATTTATGCATCCTGTCAAATTTTAATGTTGATATAGCATTCAAATTAAAAATATTCTATGATTTATGGATAAAAAATAAATAAATAAAATTGTGTAGCATTCAGTAATTGTATTGAGTAATATATTAAATTTTTTTTTTTGTTTTATTTAAAGGACAGATGTTAATCCATTGGTTTTGTTCGGCCTTTCCTGAAGACCATTATCTTCGTTACTTATTGACAAAACAGGATCTTAAAATTCTAGCCGCACAATTCTCTACTCATTTGCTTGCCGCCGGCGTTCTTCGCCAAATTGAAGATGAAAATGCTCCGCTGGAGATAGTTTTTCGAGTAAGAAACAAGTATAATAAAATTAATTATAACAAAATGCTAATATAAAACTCGATTTTATGGTTCTTTAGCCTGATTTAATGTACTATTGGACACATTCAGAAGTACCAACATCTGCAGCACCGATACCTGGAAAATTATCACCTTCGCTGTGGCCGCCGCCTAATTCAGAAGTTGGTGAACAGAAAGGATTGTGTTATTCAGAAGCTGGTTAGATTTTTGTTGTGATTACATTTGAATACATATTATTTTACAGTTTTAATATATTTTACTTGTATCTAAGATTTG